GCAAAGTCGGAAAGCCGGCCGCTGGTCCCACGCCATGTTGTCCACAAGCAGCCAGTATTCCGACATAGCCAAAGCGAGCGCCTGCGCAGCTGGGGTTTTACCCTTTTCGGCCAATCCCATGAAGACGACGGTCTTAGACTTCAGGGTAGGCAATAAGGGGATGATGACATCGTGCAAGAACCATGCGCTCAGGTCGTGCAATGTCACGTAGAAGTTGCTGGTGCGATCGGCGAAGACGTTTGAATTAGCATAGCCACGCAGGGATTCCTTCACGAGGCCAGCAGACCATCCATAAATCGGGCTACCCTCCCGATGAATCTCGATTTCAGTCCATTCCGTCTGACGGTTCTGCATGTTGGAGCGGGGGCCCTGTGTGCGAATGAAGCTGAAGCCGGCGTCGAGATCTGATTTGTGTTTGATCTTGGTCTTCGTGTCTTTAACGGAAACCTGAAACCACATCACTGACCATTGTCCGACATGCTCGAGGAGATACTGGAACCCCTTGAGACCAGCGCGAAAGTTCTTTCCGTAGTCAATGATGAAGAGCTCGCCATCAAGACGCTCCTGGAGGAGTTTGGCAGACATCTTGGCATCAAAGATGTAATGCTTGATAAACGTCCATTGTCCATCCTCTGCTTGTTGTCCGACAAGCTGCATCTTGAACTTGATGTTGGGACCGAGATCTGCTGCGAGTGTGTTCGGCAGGGAATCATACCTACCACGGGAGACATTGCTGTAGAGGCTGTCAAAGTCGAAGGCCGTGGAGGGCAGAGGATTCAACCGTTCCACGACTGATTTCAACTTGGTAGAAGAGGGCCGCATTGGCTTCAATGGGAGTAAGCTGATATTAACCAGCTCACCTGCGCGAACACGTATCACGGCTGTCTCCAGTGGACGAAAATCCAGAGGAGTTGCTAGTAAGGAAGCCTGCGCGAAATCTTTCGGCGCGGAGTTCGACACAGCCATAGCGCGAATCTAAGTTTGGATCTCGAGTTCCAAGTGCGGGCTGCAGACGTGGAACACCGGCATTGTTTTAAAACAGAGAAGATGTTTTAAAACAATAGGACTCATGGAGACACTGATTTCGGACTCATGCATCCAAGTTGAACAAATGGTTCACGTACAGTGCTTTGTATGCCAGTGTTTCTAGTAGAAGCATGCGGTTGCACAGGGACGCGCCATATGGAGATTTCGCAGCGAAGATGGGAACGGACGGAAGCGCAGAGGATCGGAACCGAAAAACCAAAAAAACCAAAGATTTTCACACTAGTACAGACTTCGGAGTAGTGTGGAAATCTTTGGTTTTTTTGTTCTTTTTTGTTTTTTTTGGTTTTTTTGTTTTTTTTGGTTTTGGTTACGAACGTATGTTTTAAAACACGAGCCCTGTTTTAAAACACAGATATCCAGACAAAGAGCCGAGCAGAGTACATACACGCACGTGTCGATTGTATTCAGAAAGGACTGTTGGCAGAAAGGAAAACGAACTAGCCCGGAAGCTATGCAAACGAACCTCTCCAACAGATAGAAACAACCGTTTTCCATCCCACACAACAGTCCTTTCTGTTATTAAAATATCGAAATTACCGATGAAAAATTAATATAGAAATCTGATTTAATATATATCTATATAATCTAGCAATTTCTGGATTGTTTTCATTCTAGACTAGAATATATTTGAATTGATATCGTATATATATATATATAATCTTCTAAAATTTATATGTATTTCTATATATTATTTCTATATATTATTAAAAATTTGATTTCATTGATGTTATTTATGTATGTTTTTCTTAATATGAAATATGATATATCTGTTTATCTTCTATTTCATGATTGAATAAAAGAACGAATATTTAGTTGAAAAGGAAATAAGGTATATGGCGAATTAGATTGTTAAATGAAAAAGAGATATATATCGGCATCGTTATCTGGAAGAAGAGTATGATAGATATGTGCAATTTTGGAATTATAAAATTAGGAAGTATATTGAAAATATGAGAGATTCCGATATATTAAACAAGAAGATATGTGATTAAAAATTATCGTGAATTAAAAAGATGTATTTAAGATATATGATAAGGTATTGAATTAGATTTATAAATAAAATATAAATATATTTTTATTGCTAAATATGCGGGCGTATTTCGTGTATATTAATGATAAATAACTAGATAGATTTTAGAGATATTATGAATTGGAATCGCCAAAATAGAAGATATGATTAATTATAGAAATGTTGTAGATAAGGTTAGGACCGTGATAGGGGCGTATTTTTTTAGGGATTGGATTTAACGTGTGATGGGGATTATGAAAAATAGATAGGGGCCTATGTGGCATAGAGAGATTGTTAAAGATATAGAGGGAATTATAAATAAGGAGTCTATTAATAAAGAATCTATTGGATATTAATTAGAGATTTTATAGATAGTGATTATCGTGGATTCGGCGCTTAGATATAGGGATCTACGGCAAAAAAAAGAAGTCTATATAGAGATCTATCGACGCCTATGATAAGCGACTACTTATTTGAGTTATCTTCTTTAATTTTCAATTCTCTTTATTGAATAAAATATTGTCGATTAATTATAATCAAATTAGAAAAAATGAAATAAAGAAGATTCATACTTAGATATATCTAGTTTAAAAAGAGATGCTTCTTATTAGAGAATATTTATTTATAATATTTAGAAATAGTTTATGCAAATAAAATACATTAATTGCAAATATCTTATTAAAAATAATAAATATCTAAGATTATATAAATCTATAAAATTTAGATGAAATCTATGATTATTTCGAATTAATTGTTCTAATATTCACAAATGAATTTATTTCAAATATATTTAATTTATAAGATAGCCTTAAATGATGATATTCAAATATAATAAAAGATTTTGGATTTCTTAATTTCTAGATTCTAAAATTCTAAAAAAAAATCTCGAGAATTTAATAAATCTATAATCCAAATTATAGAAATTCTTGATGTATCTTCTCAAAACAATATGTCCTCATAGCACGACATATACTCATAATACGCCCTCCCAACCATTCCCGATAGATTCGCCCTTCACCTATCACGCCGCGACACTCCGGCACGCTCTCCCCCCCGCACTCCAAGACACTCCCGACGACACTCAGACCCTCGCCTATCACTCCACAGCACTTCGCGACGTTCCTCTCAAATTCACACAACACTCCGACGCACGCCTCCTCGCCCCACTCCGCGACACACCCCTCCGACTCGCTCTCGCCCGCTCGCCACTCCGCGACACTCCCCCTACCTGTCACTCTCAGACACTCCGTGGGGACTCACGCGCTCGTCGGTCATTTCTCGACACTCCCACAAAACACACGCCCTCCCTGCCACTCCCACACCCGCCACTCCGCCCTCGTCCACACTACTCCCGTGACCCACCTCGACATGCCCTCGCCCACAACTTACATCTCCACGTGTCTAATCGATTCATGTGACAATACGACAAATATGGCAAAGCAAATCTTCAATAAATCTCATCATATAAGAATAGATTATATACGATATGTGTAATATATACCAAGTATCCAATCATCCACTATAAAATAAATATCGCTGATATCCAATATTTATGAAAAATAATAAAATGAAGGCTAGAATTGAGAACGAAGATAATAATACGAAATTCTAAATTTCTCGAGAAATTAATACGATATGAAACGATATTCCCTGGGATTGCCGTAATTTCGCCTAAGACTCCGAAACTCACTGGATATTAAAGACTTCGTACGCCACAACGTATGAGGTACGAAACCCTCAAAATCAAAAGAAAAACCTGGGTGTCATACAACGGATTCGCCTTTAATATCAAAACAGACAGTGATTTCGCGTCGTCCAACACAATTCCGAAATCGAGAAAGACGCGCGTATTTCGATATAATAAAATCTTATATTAGTTTGATCTTTGAAGATTCACAAGAAATAAATTCTTATCTAAAACAAATTCGGTCTTCATTCTGAATCTAAATTAATATATAAGAGGCAAAAATATAGAAATTCAATCTCATAAAAATATATATATATATTTATTTATTTATATTATAGATATATCTAAAATATTATGAAAATCATTATCAATCAGAATAAAGATATATTTTACCAAATCATATATCAATAAATAAATATAAAAATACCAAAAAACTATATCTATAACTATAACTAATGTATATATAAGAATCCAAAAAAGATACATATAAACAGACAAATAAATATAAATATACATATATACATATATATATATATATTCATTCATATAAACTTTTCAAGACTAAATAACTTGAAGATTAGATTAAATTTTAATTCAAGCGGAGCACGATCTAATTCGTATTATATATATATAAATATATAAATTTCTATATTACTCTATATATATATATATAGAAAAATACATCTATATATGAATATGATTCAATTTATACGAATACGTATTTATATTTCTCGCTATGCCGAATTCAATATCATTCTGGCTTATGGCTCAATCTACTCTACCAACCTCTAATTCATATCTACCGCTGGCCGCACTACCGGCATCGTTAAATAAAAGAAGAATAATATATGATATATTGGAATCATTAAATTAGGAGTCATATTTAAAATATAAGAGATTCCGGAATCTTGAGCAAGAAGATATATTTTTGGAACTATCGTTAAAAAAAAGACATATTTAAGATATATTATGAGGTATCCCAAATCTATGGATAAAAAAAGATAAATAATATATATATATATATAGATATATCTCCAAATAAGCGGGCGTATTTCTTATATAATTGAATAAATGGATATATTTTGGAGATCTGATGAGTGAGAATCGCCAAAGTAGAAGGCGTAATTAAAATTAGAAATATTGCAGATAAGATCAAGACCGTGATAAGACGTTTCCTTTTGGAGACAAGAACTATCGTGGTCGTAATAGGAACTATGGAAAATAGATAGGGGCCTATACGACACAAGGAACCATCAAAAATATATAGGGACTTATATATAAAGATCTATGCAAATTCGGTACAAGTCTATTAATAAGGGTCTATCGGAATATAATCAGAATCTATATAAAGCAAGATCATTGTGGATTCGGCGTTCAGACGATATAAGAAATCTACAGCAAAAATATAGAAATCTATATAGAAATCTATCGACGCCTATAATAGGCGAGTAAAATACATAAAATTTATATTTTGTTTTATCTAATATAAAAAGAAATAACTCTAATTAGAAAAAATATTTTTATAATATTTAGAAATAATTTATGCAAATAAAATAAATCAATTAAAAATATCTTACCAAAAATAGTAAAGATCTAAAATTATCTAAACCTATAAAATTTAGATAAAATCTATTTTTATTTCGAATTAAAAATTATTCTGATATTCAAAAATAAATCTATTTTATATATATTTAAGCTAGCAATTTTTGGATTTCTTAATTTCTAAACTTCAGAATTCTATAAATAAAATCTCGAGAATTCAATAAATCTATAATCAAAATTAAAGAAATTCTTAATGCATCTTCTCAAAAGAATATGTTTTCATTTCACGACATATACTCGCACAAGCCCTCCCAACCATTCCTAATAGATTCGCCTTCACCTATCACGCCGCGACACTCCGACACGCTCTCGCCACTCCAGGACACTCCCCACGACACTCAGACCCTCACCCATCACTCCACAACGCTCGTCCTTATCTAAAACAAATTCGGTCTTCATTCTGAATTAATATATAAGAGTCAAAAGTATCGAAATTCAATCTCATAATATATGTATATATTTATATTATAGAAATAT